AGAGGTATTAAAATGGTTTTTAGCCATACTCATCAAGTTTGTGGATTGACCATAACCAATACCTTCTTTCGTTAGTTTTGGTTGGTTATCCCATTCTTTTGTTGAGTTATAGCTATTGTAAAACATTTCCAAAGCCCCTCGTTTGGCCTTGTCTTTTTCTTTAATCAAAATTTCAATTTTCTTTTGAAGCTCTTCATTTTGGTTTTGAAACTTTTCAAGGTTAAGTTTTAAATTTTTGTTTTCATCACGAGAAGTTTCAAGAGCCACCTTGAGTTCCTTTTTCTCCCTAATAGTTCGAAAAAGGTCCTCTTGGCATTCATCAAACGCTTGCCTTAACTCATCAAAAGTAATTTGACTTTCAAAAGAGGTAAATGAATTTTGAGAACTAACCTCTTCTTCATCATTGGAGGCCATGAAGCAAGCATTTGTGTTCTCTTCTTGGCTTTGGTCACTATCACTTTCGTCGGAGTTTAAATCGTCCCACGTGACTTTTAATGCCTTCTTCTTCCCCTTTTTAAGCTCTTCCTTCTTTTTGAGCTTTGGACACTCTGGTTTGATATGACCTACATTTCCACATTCATAGCAAGTTATTTGATTAGGTTTACCTTTCTTTGATGGAAATCTTTTTGAAGATTCGCCCTTGTTCCATTTCATAAACTTCTTGTATCTCTTGAACATGGCAAGCTCCTCATCACTTTCTCCTTCGCTTTCTGGATGGTCATCAATTTTGAGTGCCATGGTCTTCTTGATGATAGGAACCTGTTCTTTTTCCTTCATTTTCTTCAAAAGAAGTTCGTGAGAGTATAGGCTGCTCCAAATGGTGGAGGTTTCAACATCCGCACATTTGGGCAACAAATTTACAACAAAACTATGCCACTCTCTAGGAAGAGAGAATATAATCTTGGTGTTAATCTCACTAGTAGGATAAACTTTATTTAGCTTACTCAAATTGTTGACAATGAGGTTGAATCGTTTGTTCATATCTTGAACGGATTCTCCGGCCTTCATCTTGAAGTTTTCATACTCGGATGTTCCTAAAGCTATCTTGGTAGCTTTTGTGTCTTTATCTCCTTCGTGAGTGGCTTCTAAGAGCTTCCATGCTTCCTTTGCGGATTTGCAAGAACTCACCCTAGCAAACTCATCTTGACCCAAGGCACAAAACAACACGTTTAGTGCTTTGGCATTCAAAGAGAGTTTTTTCTTGTCTTCGGTGGTGAGTTTGTCCATTGGAGTAGGAACTTGGTGTTCACCTACAGTTGTCATAGGAAAAAACGGACCATGAGTAGTGACTATCCATAAATCATAGTCAATAGATTGAATGAAATTCTCCATTCGCATTTTCCAATAGCCATAGTTATCCCCATTGAAAAATGGTGGCTTGGTAATGCTTTGGGAGTTCATTGAATCCATGTGTCATAAAATGAAATAGAAGATGAGTGTGAAAGGATAAAACTTCCTGCTCTGATACCAATTCAAAGTCGGTTTACACCCTAAGAGGGGGGTGAATTAGGGTGTTTGCAAATTTTTCGTAGAAGACAAAAACTTATGCGCAAAGTAGTAGCAGAAAAAGAGCAAGAAGGATATAAAGGATAAAAATACGATACTGGCGATTTTATACTGGTTCGGGAACTCCCTACTCCAGTACCTCGAGGCTCCTCCTCAAGGATTTAACCTCCACTAACTTGTTTGGCTTCACTAAGAAGACTCAAACGAGGTTTGGCAAACAACCCTTGCCAATAAGCAAATGAGATTTTACTATGGCTATCTCAACCGTTTACAACCGAAGATTTTAAGGCTATCTTCAACCTTATAATGAGGATTTAGAGGCTATCCACACCTTTTACAAATCAATAAAAAGATTGGTGTTGCTTCTCTACCAAAATGATAACAAATGTAAGTTGGGTAGGAGAAGAATAAAAGATTAAATCAACAACAACAAAAGCCTATAGGCAAGATATAAAATAATGAAGCACAAATGCCCTTGTGTGTGAGTGTATAAAAAGATGAAAGCTTTTTACTCAAAAGAGTAAGAAAAATAAGAACAAAGCTTTAAGAACACTCAAGAATAGAGAAAGAGGCTTTAGAATTAATTGGGAAGTTGTTATGATTAAAATGAGACTTAGAGGGGGTTTATATAGGAGTTTGGAATGTTAAAATATGAATTTTTAACCTTAAAATACCGTTAGGAAGTGATTAGGGGTGATTTGAATTTAAATTGGCAATTTGCTACAGTGCTGTAACGGATCCGGTACCCTTCACGGTAGGGGTCCGTACCGTCCGGTACCTAGGTACCGTGACAACGGTACAGCCTACCGTTAGGGGGTACCGTGTAAGCCATATAATTGGTTCGGCTCTGGCGGTATCTGGGTTCAAACGGTCTGGCCAACCTTCCCAAGCCTACGGACGGTACCTAGGTACCGTTGTCACGGTAGGGGGGTACCGTGTACCACCCAGGTGAAACGTACAACGGTACGTTCACTTGGCTACCGGCGGTACCCTGGTGCCGTGTACACGGTAGCCAGGTACCGTTAGACCTGTGCAATTTTTACTAAACTCGTTTTTGTGTTCCGTTTTCAAAATAACCCCAACTAAGAATATATTTGATAGTTTAGAAATACTTTTTGAGTGAAAGGGCATAAGTAAGTCATTATAATATATCGTTACCTTTACACAAATATTTCTAAGCTCGTAGGAGTACATCTCGGTAATGCTAAACAAGCTAATAGAGGTTTGGCGTTTGGTTTAATCCTGCAAATGATGTTAGTAGCATTGGAAGACTTATTTGGCACATCAAAATGGTTACGGGGTACGGTATTCAAGGCCAACACCAAAACCCCCAGCCACAGAATTCACTACATGTGCAGCACCCCAGGGATGAAACATGGTGCCCTACCTTTTAAATACCTGGGAATTCAAATCTTTAGGGGGATCAACAGAGCCACTTACTGCCAAGAACTGATTGATCAATTTGATAATAAATTGAAGGGTTGGCAGGGCAAACTTCTCAGTCACAGTGGAAGACTTATCCTCCTCAAACACACCCTAAACTCCATCCCCCTCCACACCTTGGCTGTCAACAAACTCCCTAAATCTATCATTCACTTATTACATAATAAGATGTGCACCTTTCTCTGGGGTAATAAAAATGGCAAAGACAACTACCATTGGGCATCTTGGGACAGGATTTGCTTGCCTGAAGACAAGGGAGGGCTAGGGGTCAGATCTTTGGACAAAATCCAAGAGGCCTTCAGCCTAAAGCTTTGGTGGAACTTTTCTGCTAACAGCTCTACTTGGAGTGAATTTATGAGAGAGAGATACCCTAGAGAGAACATTTTTGCTCCCAAAATTACTGACTCCACCATCTGGAAAAGAATATGCTCTATTCATGATACAGCCAATAACATTTTTTTTGCGGGTGATGAACCTCAGGAGTCTTTTTTCAGGAATAGGCAACTTACTCTAAAAGAAGCTTACCTGGCACTTCATGCCCAAGAAGAAGAAGAGGAAACAGACACCCTTCAACATATGAATGTCATTTAGAACATGTAGCAAATCCTAAAATAGCTTTCTTCCAATGGCGGCTTCACCTCAATCTACTTCCTTTCCCTACACAATTGAGAAAATTAGGAATAACCTCCTTGCCTTCCCAATGTTTTCTATGCAGAAATGAAAGCGACACAGACTACCACACTCTCTTCCCGTGTGAATATGCCAAACCTATTTGGAGCTACTTTGAATGGATTCTCAAGATCCCTTGGAATGCAACACATGGGGTGAGGGCCTACCTTCACAAATGGTGGACAGCTTGCCACAACAAAACTCTAGAGGGATGGATTAAAGGAACCATACCTGGGATCATAACTCACCAAATTTGGAAGGAAAGAAACTGGTGCCTTCATGATAATACAAGCAAGGACACAGGGAGACTACTTCAAGACTGCATCACCCAACTTTAGGATTGGATTCGAGGAAGGGCTCATTCCAAGCTCAAATCCTACAAAGCCTAGAGACTTCCCCTGGAACTACTGTCCCTGCATCATAGAAATCCAAGCATTAAAATACACAGATGGACTAACACTTTGGACAACCGACTACACCTCTCCACAGATGTTATATATATATATATATATATATATATATATATATATATATATATGAGATCGACTCCAGTCAGATGATACTTGGTGAGCTTTTCCACACACGCGCACACACACACAGACACAGATATATATATATATATATATATATATATATATATATATATATATACATATATATATATATATATATATATATATATATATATATATATATATTTGTTTTGTCAAAATATAATTATCATATAATTAAAATGGCACCAAAAAAATATAATTTTAAAATACATATGTATTTTTTGAAATACATATATGTATATATATAAAATTATCACAACTACATATTTAATATTACTCCCACTAGTGTAGTATACTACTCCCTTACAAGTCCTATGTGTGTGACCTTTTAGGTGTCCATAACACTGGCAATGATATTAATCATAAATTAATAACATAGATAATAAGTGGTATCTAGCAACACATTATTACCTGAGATTATGAAAAAGACGTTCATCTCATCAATACCTTTTACCACACAAGACTATCTATGACTATTATCCTTCTATCCTAAATGTCACGATCCAACACAAGGCATGGGATGTGTATCCTTGTACGTTCACCTCTTCTCGTATGTACTACTCTTGATACGTTATGACGTGTAACGCCCTGAAACCCGGCTTAGTAATTTTAAGTAATTTATATAATTAATTAATTACTGAGTCGGTCAATACGAAGATTATTTTCTAATTTGTGTATTTAATTTGGGAGTTGACCTACATTGTAGGGCTCGTTGTTCTGAACCCGACCACGCAAACGGATTGAGAATCAGAGTTCCTGGGCCCAAGATACGACTGCCGAATAGGATAATTAGGCTTAGATCTATCCTAACTGGTTAGAAAGTGTAAACTGGAGTTTAAAAATCTAATTAAATTTATATTAATATCAGGGGGTTACAAGTGCGTTACACTCTATCGCTTTCCGTTGTTTTTTTCCCTTCCTTCGGCCGTTTCTTCTTCGCGTCTGGTCGACCAGCAGTGTTCCGCCAGCAAGGAGAGCCACGCCGCCTGGTCGCCGTCGCCGTCGGCCAGCATCCCCCCTCTCGCAGTCTTTCTCCCTTTTTCTGACGAGTACCAGCGGCAGACTCTCCACCATCAAGCCGAGTTTAGTTCTTCAAATTTGAGGTGATTTGTTGTCCAAATATTAATTCGTAGATTAGGATCTTGTTTGTATTAATCTTGTGATTGATTGTGAATTTGTGCGAATTGATTGTTGGATGTGTTAAACTTAATGTTGAATTGGTGATGGGATGACTTGGGAAGGAAATCTCCGGCCGAACTCCGGCGAGTCACGGCGGTGGGCCGCCGACAGGGGCTATGGACGGATCGGTTGGGTCCAATTTGGACCCAATTGATCCAATTTGGACTCAAATGGACCAATTGGGTCGATTCGGGTCAAATTGGGTTGGGTTACGGTAATTGGGTTCAATTTGGGCTGTTATGGGCCGACCGGTGGGGCTGTTGGGCCAGCCATCTCGGGCCGAACAGTGGGGCTGTCGGGAAGCAGTTCGGGCCGGTTGGCAGGGCTGCTCGGGCCGGCTAATCGGGCTTTTGGGGCCGGTGTTTTGGGCCAGAGATACGGGGCTGCCCAAATGGGCAGCGGGTTGGGCTGTCGGGTCGGTCTGGCGGGTTGTTGGGCTGATTCAATTGTGATTGGTACTGTTCCGGCGGGTGCAACGGGCCTGGGGATAGATCCTTACTCCCGAGTTTGCGACACAGGTAAGTTATTTTAATATTGTTGAGTTAAATCTTGTTGTTTGAGCATGACGGTAATCGGTGAGAAGTGATTCTTTCGATATGTCGCTGAGTGCTTTGTTCTGTTTATGGAAATGTTTAAGTGATTGTTATCACTTGAGAACTCTGTTAAAAATTGGTCACCTAGTATATCTAGGCGGATCTGAAGTGAATTGGATAGTTTAATCACCAATAGGACTGTTGTTAGGTTCGGGCCTTGTGGAGCATGCTTGCAAATCCAGTGGCCCAGGGTTCAAAACGCGTACGGGAGTCACTGTCCTACCTAAGGGATTCCTTGGTAGGGACTCCAACCCGCCCATTGAGGATTCTCTTTGGGTTTGTCCGAGCATCGGCCTCGAGGGATCCGCTCGAGTGTCCGTAACTCTAGTCTGTTGAATTTAGCCTTAGTGTTGTAGGGACAAAAATAGCCCTTTGGAAATAAAAGAATTGGAACTATTGGATCCTTGTATCTAAAAATAAATGTTGATTGTTCACTGATATTGCTGATTATATAAATGTGATACTATCTGTGAAATTAATTCTAGCGTTAGATATTTCTCTCACTCAGCTTATCGCTGAGCGTGTAGTTTGTTTCGTCTTTCTACACGTAGGTAATAACAAGCTATCCTGGAGAGCACAGAGATGGAGGAGATGTACGGATGCAGGACTCAAACCTTTAACAGATATGGTGGTTGTAATGTAACTTGTTTTCTGATAATGATCTATTAAAGATGTTTATTTAAAATAATAGTCTTGCTTCCGCGCTGTTTTGAATGAACTCCGATAAACGTTTAAGTTTTCATTGAAATGTTGGATGATTAAATAAATGTTTTAAATTTATTGGAAAATATTGTGTGAGGATACGAATTTAGTAGCAACCTGGTTTGCTAACCTATTTATTCGGGTCACGCGGGTTGGGGTGTTACATTTTGGTATCGGAGCATATTGTTTTAAAATCGGTCTTCGGACCATTGCAAAGTATTATTTCGGAAATAAATAATTGGGAATAGTATTATTTTGATAATAATAACAATTGCAAAAGCTATTCCAAGCACTGCATCCGTATCCTCCACGTCAGCTCTGCCTCTCGGGAAGGTAAAAAAATTATTGTCTTATCGCCTAAATATTTGTATGGAGCCGATTGTTCAAGTTGCTTGAACTGAATTGATTGCTTGAATAGTTGAGTCAAGCTGATTGCTCAAATATTTGTATGAAGTTGTTTGCTCGAATTATTTGGTGTTGAGCTGAGCTGATCACTGGAATAGCCTGCTAAGTTGACTGTTGGAATGTTTGTGTTGAGCTGCGAATTGTTGACTATTGTGCATACTGAAATGCTATAGTCTAAGATAGGAATTCACGTCCCGTGGATGGAACCTACTTACTTTAAGGTGAACGTTAGCATAAATTTTGACAACGAGATGCTAAGTCGCAAAAGAAAAGAGTGTAAAAATGTACACGTAAAAAAATATCTTGTCTAATATAGGATTATCTCAATTGATCACCGGAATGGATAACCAAGTTCTGAAGGGCTGCAGACCTGGATGGATGAGGGAGTCTTATTTTGGTATCAAAAGGGAATGATTGTATAAAGGACAAGGAAAACATGATTGATTAATAAAGAAGGCAGTTCTTACCACCATCATATCATAGTGTAGTGTTGTGGCTGGATACAAATCAAAAGAACTTGATGAATAATCTATCTCGAAAGACGTTACATGCTGACGTACCTTGATTGACAACATGAAACGAATGAAGCAGACCCAAAGGAAGTTACGATATTGACACGTGGGAATGTGGACTGGCCGTTAGAAGACGCACCGTTGAAGGGCTCCTGACAGTTACAAAGAATAGTTAGCATATAATAGTGACGCCGACAGTGATAGTGGTGACGTTAATGGAACGCCTCACTTACTTTCGTTAGTATGACTCAGAGAATTGTTTGAGAGATAACTTAAATGAATCAAAAGCGAACTCGTTTAATTTTGACTATGCCGTTTGAAGATTTTAGGTTAGGACTCCTAAAGAATGAATGCACTTGATGTCGAATACCTTATTATTAATGTCGGGTCACTAGTTGAATGCCACCTGATACTTGGGGACGAACCTCTGAGTGCGCGCCAAGAACATGGAATTATGATATCCCTACGTACCGCTTGAAAGGAGTAAAACACGATAATGTTGAACACCGAACTACATCGAGTGCGGTGACCACGCACGACCCACCGAGGGTGCGAAGCTGAAGCAAACATAAAGATGATGAATGTGTGCGACACAACATTAGGTAAGACACGAGATTCGAAAGATTAAACCCGCATCACGACGTGACTTGGACGTGAAGAATCGACGAGAAGAATCTTGTTATTATCACCATATGAACTACTTGAGCTAAGTAAGGCGTACGACACACTCCCAGGGATGTGGCAACTAAGGTATTCCGTAAACCAGACAAGACCGTATATCGATAATCACCGATGCGTAGAACTGACACACCTGACACAAAGGATACAATGACGACGATCGTATGACGACAACAAATGACAACTGTATAGTGCCGACGAGTGCAGCGTGTGACGGTTAAACGACAGGTACGAAAGCTAAATAGGCGATTGACATTACGCGAGCTGATGAACGAATTGTACTGAGCGAATACGAGAGGTGGATAACACGTACATGGATGACAGACACTACGACTTCTGATGAAGTACCCTTTCCTCGCAAAACGAACTCGCCGATGTTGGATGAATCATGATGAAACTTGTTCCACAAGAAACAAGCGACAACTTATTATTTGATGAGCGACATCTCTCGAATTTAATCATGAACGTGTGTAGATCGTATAGTGAAGGATTCTGAAAGACTCGTTCGAGAAACACATTAAAGATTAGTGATTGTTAGGAAGTAATTCTTGAAACACCTTGTCGGATGTGTGTGACTGTACGAACGTTGGGTTTGAATATCGTGACTTGATAATGCGATAGGAGAAAGAACAACTCGAGACACACTTACAAAACAACTTCTGACGCTCGAAGAGCACATCGGTGAAACAGACTCTCTTAGACTCAATTGTTGATGACATGGGAGGTGTTATCGTTGCAACAATTTTGTTCATTGACGAGAAATCTCGAAAACATCTTATGCTGACGTCATAGGCTAATGAAAGAAACGAACTTTGAATACGAACTGAACGACCGATCAAATAACTGACGTTATGATATCTGAAAGCTTAACTATTGTTGGTATGCTCTATAGAGGTACCCCATATACGTACGTTGGAATCAAACTCAAGAAAAGTTTGAATTATGAAATCGATAAACCTGTCAGATGTCTGGAACGAAACACAAATACAAAACTCCTACGATAATATCTTGAACAATAAATGAAGAGAATTCTCTTGGGAATGGAGTGACCATTCACCTAACCATAGTCGTAAAGCAAATGTGAAACCTTAAAAGAATTTCGGGGGCGAAATTCCTTTAAGGGGGAGAAATGTAATGCCCTGAAACGCGGCTTAGTATGTTTAAGTAATTTATATAATTAATTAATTACTGAGTCGGTCAATACGAAGATTATTTTTTAATTTGTGTATTTAATTTGGGAGTTGACCTACATTGTAGGGCTCGCTGTTCTGAACCCGACCGCGCAAACGGATTTAAAATCAAAGTTCCTGGGCCCAAGATATGACTACCGAATAATATAATTGGGCTTAAATCTATCCTAACTGGTTAGAAAGTGTAAACTGGACTTTAAAAATCTAATTAATTTTATATTAAGGGGGGTTACAAGTGTGTTACTCTCTCTCTCTTTCCGTTGTTTTTTTTCCTTCCTTCAGCTGTTTCTTTTTCACGTCTGGTCGACCAGCAGTGTTCCGCCAGCAAGGAGAGTCACGCCGCCTGGACGCTGTCGCCATCGGCCACCATCCCCCCTCTCGCAGTCTTTCTCCCTTTTTCCGATGAGTAGCAGCGGTAGACTCTCCACCATCAAGCCGAGTTTAGTTCTTGAAATTCGAGGTGATTTGTTGTCCAAATATCTATCGTTAGCGTTAATTCGTAGATTAGGATCTTGTTTGTATTAATCTAGTGATTGATTGTGAATTTGTACGAATTGATTGTTGGATGTGTTAAATTGAATGTTGAATTGGTGGTGGGATGACTTGGGAAGGAAATCTCTGGCCGAACTCCGGTGAATCACGGCAGTGGACTGCCGACAGGGGCTGTGGACAGATCGGTTGGGTCCAATTTGGACCCAATTGATCCAATTTGGACTCAAATGAACCAATTGGGTCGATTCGGGTCTAATTGGGTCAAATTGGGTTGGGTTACGGTAATTGGGTTCAATTGGGGCTGTTATGGGCCGACCAATGGGGCTGTTGGGCCAGCCATCTCGGGCCGGACAGTGGGGCTGTCGGGTAGCAGTTCGGGCTGGTTGGCAGGGCTGCCCGGGCCAGCTAATAAGGCTTTTGGGGCCGGTGGTTTGGGCCGGCGATACGGGGCTGCCCAAATGGGCAGCGAGTTGGGCTGTCGGGTCGGTCTGGCGGGTTGTTGGGCTGATTCAATTGTAATTGGTACTGTTCCGGCGGGTGCAGCGGGCCTGGGGATAAATCCTTACTCCCGAGTTTGCGACACAGGTAAGTTATTTTAATATTGTTGAGTTAAATCTTGTTGTTTGAGCATGCGGTAATCGGTGAGAAGTGATTCTTCCGATATGTCGCTGAGTGTTTTGTTCTGTTTATGGAAATGTGTAAATGATTGTTATCACTTGAGAACTCTGTTGAAAATTGGCCACCTTGTATATCTAGGCGAATCTGAATTGAATTGGATAGTTTAATCACCAATAGGACTGTTGTTAGGTTCGGGCCTTGTGGAGCATGCTTGCAAATCCAGTGGCTCAGGGTTCAAAACGTACGTACGGGAGTCACTGTCCTACCTAAGGGATTCCTTGATAGGGACTCCAACCCGCCCATTGAGGATTCTCTTTGGGTTTGTCCGAGCATCGGCCTTGAGGGATCCGCTCGAGTGTCCGTAACTCTAGTCTGTTGAATTTAGCCTTAGTGTTGTAGGGACAGAAATAGCCCTTTGGAAATAAAAGAATTGGAACTGTTGGATCCTTGTATCTGAAAATAAATGTTGATTGTTCACTGATATTGCTGATTATATAAACGTGATACTATCTGTGAAATTAATTCTAGCGTTAGATATTTCTCTCACTCAGCTTATCGCTGAGCGTGTAGTTTGTTCCGTCTTTCTACACGTAGGTAATAACAAGCTATCTTGGAGAGCACAGAGATAGAGGAGATGTACGGATGTAGGACTCAAACCGTTAACAGATATGGTGGTTGTAATGTAACTCGTTTTCTAATAATGATCTATTAAAGATGTTTATTTAAAATAACAGTTTTGCTTCCGCGCTATTTTGAATTAACTCCGATAAACGTTTAAGTTTTCATTGAAATGTTGGATGATTAATTAAATGTTTTAAATTTATTGGAAAATATTGTGTGAGATACCAATTTAGTAGCAACCTGGTTCGCTAACCTATTTATTCGGGTCACGCGAGTTGGGGTGTTACATGATGTCCGTATTATCATAAAGTGCGAGTACGGATATTCTAGACATAACCTTTGTCAAGAAGTAACAGTCTTATAATTAGAACATCGTAGTCCTCATCTATGTTACTGAAGCGCTATCGTCTATGGACTGAAGCTATGTTATGTTACACGAGATATAAAACATATTTCAAGGCCTTTTATTCATGATAAAGTGTACAGTTACATAGGTATTTAATTGCCGATAGGGCACCTAAATACAACAGAGAATGCCTTGCTTGGTAAAGATGTGGGTTAGT